AGAGAGAGAGAGAGAGGATCAAGTGATGGAGAAAGGAGATAGATGAAAATCGTAGGAGAGAGATAATTTTTTTTTTTTATATTTTTATTATTTCAGTTGTATTTAAAGGGGAAATGTCCCTTTTTTGCAAACAAAGATTTGGAATTCAGTAAAAAATTAGGGCCTTGTGAAAATATTTATGGGGTGGACTCCCTTGTAGACCTAGAGAGAGAGAGGGTATAATCTCTCAACCTTTTTTATTTTTTTTAATTTTATTATCAAGATTTTATTTGCATCACCATGTTAAACTCGAAGCCAGTCGCCCAATCAAAGCATTAAAGAAAGAGGAAGGGGTATTTGTTTCTTGAGAGGAAGCATTGCAAAAAACTAAGGTGTCGTCCACATATTGTAATTGTAAGATGGTAGGGGTGTGAGTACCACACTTAAATCCTTGGAGTAGGCCTTCATTAAAGAGACGGGTAACGGGGTGGCTAAAAACTTTGGCCACAATGGAGAATAGGAAAGGGGAGAGGGGGTCACCCTATCGCAAACCATTCGATGAAGGGTTTCGTCGAGAACCAGCCAGTCGACATGGTCGTAGGTTTTTTCTCAATCGAGCTTAACAATTAGGGCTGGTATTTTGGAACGATAGCCTTGAATGAATGCATTCGTGGGCCACCAGGGCCCCATCTAGGATATGCCGATCTTTCACAAATTCACCCTGATGTAGAAAGATCACCAGTTCGAGGACTTCTCTTAGGTGAGAGGTGAGCACCTTGGACAAAATTTTGTTAGAACTATTTATGAGTCTTATCGGGTGGAAGTCCTTGATTTCCTCAGGTCCTTCTTTCTTTGGGACAAGAGTAATGAATGTGGCATTAAGGGCCATGTGCAGTATCCCCCTGTTATAGAATTCCTCAAAGAACGCAATGACATTATGTCAAAACGAGCTCTAGAAGGTGCTGAAAATGGTGATTGGGAAGCCAACCGGGCCTGGGGCCCTATCTTGGCCAAGCTCATGGATAGCTTTGAGTATTTCCTCGTCAAAGAATGGTCGCTCGAGTCATTCGACCGTCTCGGAAGGGAGGGTCAGGAAGGAAAGATTTCCCATAGTGGGTTTCGGGTCAAGGGGAGTCGAGAAGAGCAGTTCAAAAAATCGAGAATGGCTCTTTTGACTTCTACTAGGTGTTTGAAGATGGAGTTATCCACTTTGATGAGGGTGGTAGTGTTGTCCTGCCTCCTGCAATTTGCGGATTTATTGAAGAATGAAGTGTTGAGATCATTAAACTTGAGCCACATGACCGTTGACATTTGGTACCAGAAGATTTCCTCTTTCTTGAGGAGAGATACTCAAGTTTCTAGTTGGATCTGAGGGTTCTTTCATCTGCTGTGAAAGGTCGAAGTTCCTCTGACTGGTCCCAATGTTGGATGGCTAGAAGAGTAGTGCTTTTGGGTACAGAGATTGTCGGGCAAGCTATTACTCCATTTTTTAGGGAAATCTAGGAAGTTGGAGCTTCCTCTGTAATTGGAACCCAGCCCTATCAGAGACAATGGGGAGAAGGAATGCCACCAAAAAGTAGTGAGCTGTAGGATGTTGGGTTCCTCAAGCTAGACCAACTCGGACTAGAAAGGTTTTGGGCCCCTAAAGGGGGGTAGGGGGGGGGGGGGGAGGGGTTGGGGTTGAGTGTCTAGTAGAGCGGAGGCAAAGGAGCTGGGGAAGTCTGCATCCCATTCGGGGATGAGAAGGAATTGATCAAACTTAGAGAGTGAGTGATTAGAGGAGTGCTTAAACCAGGTGTACTGGGCCCTAGAAGTGGATATCGGTGAGCTGGTTTCGAGCTATGAAATTCGAGAAGAGGGACATAGCCGCGGTAACCCTATATCTGGAATTTCTTTCAAAAGAGAATCTGATGACATTATAGTCACCCTTAGACACCAAAATGGTGGGGAAAAGGTGGCAACGAGGTCTAGCTCCTCCCAAAACTGTTCCCTGAGGGCGTTAGAGTTTGGGCCATAGATGACCGAAAACTTCCACTGGAAGCTGTTTGAGATTCTGGAAAGAACAACTGTGATGGAGTGAATGGCTGAGTGGGAATTGATGAGGGAATAGGTAGAGGGGTCTCAAAATGACCCAAATTCCTCTCGATGCCCCTGATGCCAGCAGACCAATCCATTGGCAAGGCCTGCGGCCCCATACTTACCTTACTTGCGGAAGAGAGGGGCCTGGAAGTTTAGTCTCCGTGAGGGCTAGGAGAGCCGGTGTGTGAAGGGTAGATACCACTCGGATGGCACTGCGCTGGGTGGGATTGCTGAACCCACACACATTCTAGGAAAGTATTAATATGATGAAGGGGGAAGGGGAGTTGGGGCCTGTCTGAATGATCGTCTTGGGCGAGAACCTCCTAGGGAGGAAGAGGGCAGGTGAGCTGACGAGGCAAGATTGGCCAGACGATCGTAATTGATTCCAAAGACAAGGTTTGATAGTTCTTGATTGCCTCTTCTAGTGACTTGGAGATGAGGGAGAGGATTCGCTCTAAGGAAAGTCTTGAAGGGTGAAACCCATCACCAGCATGACTTGATTAACATTACCCTGGGCTTGGTCGAGCTCAGCAACAAAGTCAGAATCCACCGAAAAAGGTGAAGCAGAAAGAAAGATGGGAGATGAGTTGGGGGTGGGTACTGAAGCCAGAAGGGGAGAGTGGGAGGATTGGGAGGGGAGAGGGGATGAGAGAGAAACCGAATAGGAAGGGCGGAGGTGAGGGAGGGGGTGGGGAGACACCAGAAGGGGGGGGTTGGGGGGTAATAGGAGCCAAGAGGGGGGTACTAGAAAGGGTTAGGGAACGGATAATGGATTGGGGAGGGTGGAAGGGGATAGGAACCCCAAGGAGTAATGGGGAGGGAAATGAAGGTGGGGGAAGGGGGGGGGGGCATGGTGTAAAAGGGCAGGAGGAGACGTGCTAACTACGGAGGGTTGAAGTGGGACAAACCAGCCTAAGATGGTGTGGCAAAGGCCGGGGGGGGGGGACAAACCAGCCTAAGATGGTGTGGCAAAGGCCGGGGGGGGGGAGGTCCCAGTGCAAGGGAGGTGCCTCTGTGAACCAGGGAAGGTGGCTCTGAATCAGTGTGCAAGACTTAAGCAGCGGTGCTAGTTACATAGGGGGCCCAAAGAGGGGCAGAAAATTCCGTTGGCAGTCACCGGGGCATGGAGAAGAATGCGGTGGTTGCACTAATAGGGGGAGTTTGCCTGGAGGCTGCGACTGAGGTTCAATTGTGAAGGAGGTGCAATGAGCCAAGAGGGAGGGCCATTGACGAGGGAGTAAAGGAATGACGCTTAGTAGGGGCTGGGGTGTCGGGGACGAAGGAAAGAGGGTTTGGAAAGCCAACGGGGAACGGGTGGGGAAAGGCAGAAATGGGAGGAGGAGGCGGAGAAGGGGTTAGATGAATAGGGGAGATGGTGGGAGAAGGCACCTGCGTCAGAGTGGAGGGAGGGGAGGAGGAGAGTTGCTGTGGTGGTTGGCCCGGCTCATCAAGGGGAGATCCAAGAGGGTTGATGATTGGGATGTTGCCAGGTGGATAAGGGGGGAAGATGGAAAGAGGGGTAGCCTTGGATGACGTGCCGGTGAGGGAATGCAGGAGATAGTCGTAGGACCAAAGTCCATTGGTTGTGCTCCATAGTTTTGCTGGTGTCAAGCTATGCTGGGCAAAGGTGGTGGCGCAAAGGAGGCGATGCCGATTGCCACACACATTCTGTAGTAAGTGTCCCTCGACCTCCATCCAGAGCGAGGAGGGGATGGAAGAAGGGTTGAGAACTTCGATAAGTACCTGGATGAAGCACATGGGCAAATTTCGATTGATTTTCAGTTTATGGAAATGACGGAGGCGCACGAGTTGGCCAGGCTCTTGAAGGTGTCTGCTGTCCAGAATTGAAGGGGAATATCGAAGAACCTGAGCCATAACCTTTGGGGTTTGAACGCTCCAATAGCTGGTGATCAGGGGAAGAGAGAGGGATGCCCTCTTGAACTGCCCAGAGGGGGGCTTAGAGGCGAGAAGGGCACAGTCGGCCGAGGGAAAAGGAAGAGGACTTTGCCAGATGAGAGCCTTCTGCTGCAAAGGTCCGGCACTTCCCAGAGTCTCTGAGCCCACTTCTCGATGCCGTGGAAGTCGTCACGGCGAGGGGAAGAAGGAACCCACGAGTGCTACAAATAGTTTGGACAAGAGAGCAGGGTCACAGTAGCCAACCAGGTTCGCAAAGGGAGGTTGGGGGGTGAGAGGGACAGGGGAGGGAGAAGGATGGGAGGGATGTGTTGGGGGTGGGGGAAAGGAGTAGGAACGACCATGGAGAGTGCGGGAGGGTTAGGCAGAGCAGCTTTGTTGGGACGGAGGAGGTGGGCGTAAGAAGAGTAGAGGGGAGGGATAGGCACTCTAGGGCAGCTTACTGGGGTAGGAGGCGGGGGAACCATTACTCCACATGCCATCATGGACCATCTATGGCTATTTCTTCTTCTTCGTTTTAAGATCGTCTTCAACTTCCATTGCATATTGAAAAACTTGAAATCCAATTGCTTGTGAACTGAAAATGCATACAATCTTATTCTAAATTAATTTTGTTGGAAGATTATTTATATCAAATAGAGATCATCCATCTCTCTCTCTCTCTCTCTCTCTCTGATAAACACGCACAGAATTAAAAAAACTTATGAACTTAAAAACTTCCTTCAATTTTCATTGGTAAAAACTTATCATGCTTGACATAATTTGCAGGTTGGTGCATGGAGAGACAGAATCATAATATGCACTGGAAAGTATGGACCAATGCCAAGCATGGTGAAGGCTTTTCTTGATTCAGGAGCAAAAGCCATCATTGCATCATCAATAGAGCCACCAGAATCCCAAGCTTGCAGTCGAATAGGGCCCAACGATAATTATACTGGTTTAGAGAATGGTCGTTTTGTAATAGGAGAGGAGGATGCTGAGGATGAAGAGCCAACAGTTCCAGTAAGTCCAGTGAGTGACTGGGAAGATAGTGATCTAGAGAGAAGTGAAGGTCCCATGAGTGGGAGAGATGAGGAAGAGGAGGAATTGTCTCGGTTTATTTGTGCTTTTTATGATGCTTTGTTCCGAGAAGGGACAAAAGTGGATGAGGCGCTGCACCATGCTCTAAGGACACATCCGAGGCAAAGGTACAAATGCCATCTTCCTAGCATACGTTGATTATTGCTGTGTGTGTGTTTGTGCATGAGAAAGAGAGAGAGAGAGAGGTTTAATCATTGGAAAATAGTGCAATTTATGTAGTATGCGGAAAAAATAAGTTCAGGAATCTAGTAAATGCCTTTGAAAATTTTGTCTTTTTTTGTTTTTTATTTTATTTATAACAAAATCCTCATTTGGGTCCCTGAGTTATGGTTCATTCTTATATTCACTCGCCCCATGCATAAGCATGTTTTGTGGGAAGGACTGATACCACACGATAATGAGATACAAGTTGTCTACCATCTCTCTCTCAACAAAATTATCTACCATCTCTCTCTCTCTCTACAAATTGTCTACCGTCTCTCTCTTTCTCTCTTTCGCGCTCTCCCTGACGAAATGAACAAGCTTGCAATGGAATCGGATAAAATTTAATTTGAATTCACATAGGTCTATGTATTCATATTGTTACTGGAAATTTTGAATATGGATGTACTCATATTCTATAAAATTGCATTGCAACGATGATTCAGCCATGGAAGTGTGATTTCTACAAATCGTATTAGGTGTTAGGCATGGTCAACGATGAAGTCTGAACTTTTGAAACTTCACTTCTGAGTTTCTAAGGCGCTGCCATCCCAAAGAGTCACCGAGAAATGTGAATGATTCACGAGGTAACTGTGTGTGTTTGTTGTTTCGGGTGTGGGGGTTGGGAAGCGGTGTGGAATAACGGCAGTGAAACCAACTTTTTATAGTTCTAAGCTCGAAAATAATATTATGCCCACATATCAGAAAAAACCAAGACTAAGGCTGCCAATGGTCAGGGCCGGGAGTTCCGGCCATTCCAGGCCTAATTTCAGGCTTATTATGGTATTTGGGCCTATGCCCGAGCTAGGACAAGGCAATTCCTCTTTTGGGCTGGGCCGGCTTCAAATAGGCCAACCCAAAAAGCCCGGAACTGGAAATGACAGAGACAGGTAGAGAGAAAACCACATAAAAGGCAGCAAAAAGAAGAGGATTCTCTTTACTCGAAATCCCCCCAAAGACCATTGCAAGACAAGTGAACCCAAAAAACCATTACAGAGAGAGAGAGAGAGAGGTTACCCAAAAAACCATTACAGAGAGAGAGAAAGTGAGTACATAACCCCAAAAGACCATTACAAAATAAGAAAACAGAGTTCTTTAAAAAAAAAAAAGGCTTCTAATTGGGCCACGTCAGGCTATATTTAGGTCCGCCCAAGCTCAACCCAAAAGACACTTTCGGGCTGGGCCTTAATAAGGCATATCCGGGGCCTGGCCTGTAACCATAAATTTCCAGTCAGGCCTCAATTTTTCGGGCTTTTTTTGGGCTTGAGCCTGGCCAGTTGATGCCTTATATTATAGAATTATGTGCACCTCAAAATCCATCGAAAAAGGCTATTTTGATGTTGGAAAACCATCTAATTGATTGAGATGAATGCATATGAAGAAAAAGAAAGAAAAAAACAGATTTTTTGTCTAAAAAACAATACATTATCAAGACTGCATTTTCAAGATTTTTATGCGTTTATAAATCTATTTGATTTGAACTATTTTTGGAATTTAAAAATTTTTATATTTAGAGATGAAAATAGATTCTCGGGCCAACCAAAGATTTTTTGTTGACACTAAAATTGCTTCTTATGACAAAGTTTGGAGAAGCACTTTCATTTGATTGTTTAAAGTTGCAACTTTATGCAAACCACACCTCTCTCTCTCTCTCTCTTTTTATATATATATATATATATATATATATATATATATATATATATAT